TAACAAGGTAAGGTGTTGTGGTGAGTTTGAGGGAAATTTGTGCAGAGGAAATGGAATGGTGAAGAGGGGCGGTATCTCGGTATTAAGAAGGAAGTGGTTTGCGGTTTGCTTGTGCAGAGAAGGAATTGGAATTGTGGTCTTAAGCCGTGAGATAGAAAGGATAGTATTGTAGTGCCGCGGTTTATGAGAATGGTTTGCGTGTAGAAATGGGTTGCGTACAAAATTGGTAATAGCTGCGTGATTTGATTTGCGGTTAGAGGTTCTGTTTGGTTTGCATGGAAAGGTAAGGGTATTTTAGTCTTTTCACTTTGCTCCCTAATCTCAACTTAAATTCTCAATTCCGACTTAATTCTAAAAATTATCCCCAAGTGTGATTTGAATGTCTAATCATATCCTAATATACCTAAACCATTTTTATATCGAATACTTATCGATTAAACTTAAATATTAAGGTTCCTAGTAATTCTTATATTATTTAGCGATTAATTAGTTATTAGAATTTTCAATTATTTATTCTCAAGAAATAGAGTTAGTCTAACTCGAAATTTATCGATTTAGTAATATAAAGTCAAATGAAATAATAATTTAATACAAGTGTGTCAGTTTGCACATAAAAATTATTTTTACGCGCTTATTGTGAAAACAAAGAAGGATAAGACTATAATTATCGAAATTTTCACGCCTTAAGTATGTTTAGTATATTAGTATCATGTTTATCTAAAATTCATTGGTTTTCATTTTAACGCGGAAATTCCTATTAACATTTAACATTATTAACAATTAAAACTAGTTATCGGAAATCAAATAATTTATTTTAAAGTAATAGAATTAATCCAACTCAAGAAATATTAATTTAGTATAGCAAAACCGAATAATTCAATATTGGCACAATTATATTATTTATTACATAGAAATTATCTTTACACTTTTATTTCAAAACAATTAATTACAATACTAGAATTCAAAGAAATTAATTATTAGATCAATGAAATAGTTTACCATTGAAAATATGAAGTTAATGTAATAAAACTAAGAAGTTTAGTAGTTTAGCACAATTCTTTTATTTTGCACCTAACGTTTATTTCTACGTACTTATTTAAAAACAATTGGACTTAGTGCTAAAATTTATTAAAGAATTAAAATGCAAATAAAATGTGCACTGATATTTATATGTCTATTTTCAGGGTTCTCACATCCTCCCCTCCTTAAAATGAATTTTGTCCTCAAAATTCTTACTTTCTCAAGAGATAGGTCGGGTTACTTTTTGCATCTCTTCTTCTAGTTCCCAAGATTTGTTCGGTCGTTTAGTTTTAGATCATTTATTTGCTACAAGGCCATATTTTTATTGTCTCACGCGTTGACTAAAAAAAATTTCGTTGGTTCTAATTTATGTGTACCTCGAAAAATTTCGCTTATATCAATTTAGTAGGTTTCCACACGTTTGGCCTTAAGGAGAATTAATTAGTCATGTAATTTATTCAACTATATAATGTATTCAAATTGCTCAAATTACAATATACCTATCGTATATATTCGATTCATATATATATATTGCACTATTCTAGAATATTTCTAAATTCTCAATTTTTTTTTGTTTTATAAATTCAATTGGGCACTAATTTAACCATTTATTTGTTATAATATTTCTAATAGCAAAGTAACTAAAATAAAGGATATTCATAGAGTACATACAATTCGTAGCGTACATATAATTCATAGCGAAAGATCACAATCTCCAAAAGTGCTATTCTAGTTTAGGGTAACTATAACCTCTATTCCTCGAGTGAGGTCAAACCCTCTTGATTTGTGAAACATTCACTACTAGGACCCCGTTCATGGCCATTAGCACGAATTACTTTCATCTGGCACTTGGTCGATCTGTAGCGGACTTAGTTATCTGCTGAGTACTTCCTCTTTGTAAATGCTCTAGGGCATCCCGAAATCTTGTGCTTGGTACTACCGCACCTCAAGCACTTTCCCTGTTTCCTCCAACATCCGTCCTTAGTATGGCCAGTTTTTCTACAATACCCACAATTTGCATGAGAAGTGGTGGCCTGGCTATTTCAAGAGTTTTCTTTATTTTCCTTCTCCAGTTCTACATTTTGGCGTAGTAGCTCAATTTTCTCTGCATATTCTTGTTTCCATCGTCCTTCCCAGTAACCAGCCAATTTCTTTTGAAATTCTACCTCATTTCGGAGAATGTCCATTTCCTTACGCATGTCTTCCAAAGTTGTCATCTTACTAGTTGGCTTAAGTCGAACAGCTAGCCTGCTAGGCAGATCATAGAATCAAAATAAGCAACTATTCATACTGGAAGCTTAAGCCGTAATACTCCTTCATCCTTTTACTGATGGTTACTCCAAGATATAAACCTACTACTTTCTAATTAATCCAACGAGTTCTTAAATGTCACCAAGATTACCATCGTTAATCACTATCACGACAGAATAAGGAAGCCTTATCCCAAAGAAAATTTCATGTCTTAGTGCACTATTCAATACTTACCTTCAACATTGTTTAAAACAACAGTCATACATCTGATTCTCGCTAGGCCTTGTTGTATTCATTCGATTCATTCTTATTATTTTGAGGTCAGATTCCCCATGAAACCTAGATAGACGAATTTCAAGAGTCACTCCATTTTTGCAACTCTTTTGGTTCCTAGGTTAGTTGAGTGGCCTAAGGCTTTGGTATTCCACCAACCGTTCTAAGGTATCAGTCATACGGTCAATAGAGGTAGCTACGTGGGTGGGTTCCTTCTAAAATTCCCATTGATAGCATCTTTGTCGAAGTCTGTCTACCATTAGCTCCTGAAACACTTATACATCATTAAAACTCAACTTTCAAAATTTTACGTACCTTTTGTGACTAATAACAGGATATTAAATACACCTTTGGAAAAATTGTGGTCTATATACATATATAAATAAAATGGTTATTCGAATGGAGGACAAGAAGAAAAGAAATTGGTTCTGATCTTGATAGTCAAAATTTCACACTTTTAATCGTAACGATTTCCGGTTATTCTTTCCGTATTTTATCTTCCATTTCCACATCACTTCGTCTAATCATTCATGTTTGCCACGAAACCTTAACTAAAGGAATTTGTCTTAGTGTTTTCCCCGTAATTTAAGTGTCGAATCGACTGCTTCCCAAAGTATATAAAAGTTCAACTACTTGAATTTACAATTTATCTGCGCGTCATACTTTATTAAAAATTTTCACCCAAGATAGCATTATCAATCTGACATTATCGCTCCCTAAGCTCTATATTTCTCACAACGAGTTGATTTAAAATAAGTGATAACCAATTATGCATACATACGATTGCGGTTAATTTCACTCCATATATATCATTAATACCAAGCAAATTCATGATCAATTTAATTACATCACAGAACAAAGTCAATTACAACATATATCAAGCTCAGGTACACTCTAATCAGAAATCAAACAAATCTCTTTTTTTTTTTAAGTGCATTCAATATCCAAACATGGCAAAGTTCCGACTCCAACATCCCATCCTATTGATTTCTATCCGTAATAGAGTTGGTAAATCCTTGAAATTCCTACCTTTATTCACAAAAGTTCAGTTTATTTCATTTTTTTTTTCATTCACTGGATCTATCAAGTCATTATTTCAACGTTGGTCTAACCTTTCTTCTAAAGGTATGAGCTGATAAATAGATCGAGTTTACTAACTTTTAAATTTTATTCATGTTCTTACCCTTTCCTATTTCTGGTTATTAATAATGGTTACATCAACAACTTGTATACATGATACGATAATTATTTCTTTAACTCATAACTACAACGATTTTACCAAGACATGATTGCCCTAATAATCACCACCTAATCCATATATTGTTTATTTTTATTTTTATTTTTATTTTTATTTTTTTCTTAATCTCATAGTTCTATACACCACTTTGGTTACCAAAATTTCACTTAGGTTAGTAATTATTTAATTTCCGGGACTAATAATTATTACAGCGTTTACAAAAATTAAACACGTAATCATCAAATTATATACTCACAATATAAGTCACATTGTATACCAAATTCATACAACTTCAAAAACTAGATAATTCATGTATACATTCAACATTTTCATACATAACTCAAACTTCAATCTTCATAAGCATGAAAGGAAACAATACAACAATACACAAATTATTATAACCACATAGCTAATAGCCTAACCCTTAGTTTAGATTCAACTTAACCTTCATTAGTTTAGTCCTGGACAATCCCACTAGACCCCCTTAGTAACACTAATCAAATTTCCTTAGTAACTTGTAGATCTACTATGTCGAATATCAAATCAAATAATATGATCATTACCTAAGTACATCAGTGGCTCTTAAGTATTCTAAATGATCTCAAACATTTCATACATTGGCTTTTCTAATATCCTAACAACTAGTTATCTTTATCCTTTCGAACATTAGCCCCAATAATCCTCCAATAAAACTGAAAGACCACAATGTCATCGAGAACTCATCTCACATGGCAAATTCATCTCAAAAGCAAAATTGGCACTAATCTTCAAGGTCTCACTATTGGCTCTTCCCCTTTTAACTTTCAAAAGCTAAACTTGTTGCTTTCAGTTCTACTTTTCCAAACTTAATCATGATTTCTAGTCACATCATAATACGATATACTGAATTCTTTTCAATTGCAAATACTCCATTAAATGCAATATTTCGTACTCGGGTACAAGAATCCGAAAATAAGATGATTCACAACTCAAGCTGGCCAGTCCCAAGCATGAATCACCTACATTTGAGATTCCTACCCAACATACATATCTAATATCCCCAACTATAGACTTTTGTTCCACACTTAACAAGCCAATCCTCACAGTCCGAGAACCTTTTCCCGGTTTGAGCTCGATAAGAGCTCTGATACCACCTGTGGCGACCCCACTTCCCCCTGAGGCGAACCAAAGGGTTGGCGGGCCGTCTGCCCAACTCTCGCCAGGACTCACGCGAGCAATCTAACCCGAAACCTTTCGAAGAATAAACTAATCTATTACAAATCAACTTTTCCCAAATAGAATCATACCTAAAGCCCCATTCTTCAGAGATAGCAATGATAAAAATAACCAGTCGAGGCCCTTAAACGACCTACGAGCTACGTACCGAAGTATAAGTCGTACCCAACCAGATAGATAAATACATAAATCCCTAATACAAGCTTACAAGCCAAGTAATCGAATTAGGATTTACACATTTTCCAGCTTCAAGTGGCAACCCAAAAAGAAAAGTACATTATCCCAAATAACACATTACAGCCCACAGAATAAGTTATAGTAGTCAAATACAATCCATAAGGAAAACATAAGTAAGCATCCAGCTTTCAGTTTCCAGAACCTGTTAAGGAAAACAATAAACGTGGGGTGAGCTAAAGCTCAGTGGTGCCCCAAAACATGCAATCACATAAATCAAACAACGAGCAATAATTTAATCAAATTGAACAGTTAGGAAAGCGTGTAACAGCACAAGGTAGGATACAAGGGCTCTCAGGAGCCATTTTCCACGCTTGATCAGATACCATCGTAGTTGACCCTCCGTCAACTTTCACTACTTATAGTCCATGTAGATCCACTTATTTTAATCCTAACCCGTCACTGTTCATACCTCTGCTTCGGGCCCGAACTTCGCCTACCGACGCAGTATACTCGAGATATACCCGTATAAAATTAGTCGAGGGATTCACCCAACGACGTTATGGTAGTTAGATTCATGCGTCAAGGATTCACCAAAGACGTGATTGCAATCAAATACATGCGTCGAGAGATTCACCCAATGACGTGATTGCAATCAGATACATGCGTCGAGGGATTCAACAATGACGTAACTACATTTAGATTCACGGATTCATTAGAAAATGTTTCACACACGTCACCACTCGAACGGCTAGTGCGATAAAGTACACACTGCTCACTTCGATGGATCAGAAACCATTTATTTCATTTTGACAATTATCACATAGCGAGTTGATAAAGCGCTTAACCACATAAGCATAAAACAAGCAGGGACACTCACCCAAAAGTGAAGTTCAGAGTTCAAGCTGGGATTCAAAATTCCACGTCCTCGCTATACCCTAGAAATCCAGAATTTAAAACTATAAGTGTTGTTGTACGGTTATTGGTTTATGAATACAAAGTTATCTGGTATATAACTAGTTTATCTACTCCAAATAAATTAACAATTTCCCTAGAGTTAAACTAGTGAAAGTGATGAAATACTTCATAGGATTTCTTTCTTTCTAGAGGTGCAAACCAGAACCAATTTGCTTTGAATAAGGTTTCTTGCCAAACAAGTTTTCTGCGTCTTTTATTTAAAATTATTAAAATCAAGTTTGGCCTTTAATGTACAAATATAACATTTTCAATTTCTATTCAAGTTATTGGTTTATAAGTATAAAAGATTCTCTAGTTTATAAATGGTTTATTCTCTCGAAATAATTCGACAATCCACTAAGGATTAAGGGTTAGTAAAAGTAGGAAATGTTTTACATGGCCTTCCTCTAAATACTTTTCTTTATAAAAGTGCGGCTAGTATTATTTTATTTAAAGTAAGTTTTCTTGCCGAGTAAGTTTCTGCTGGTTTTTTTTAAAGTCACTAAAATCTTGTATTTTTGGAAATGTTCCTCTAAACAACTAGCCAAGAGCAATACTTAATGAAAAGAAAAGGAATAATATAAAACTTAGAGTTTTCAAAAGCTATAGAATTTATATACTATAGCTATCAAGGCTAGTTTGAGCTAAAGGAAATTATCGAGTTGGAAAGTTTTAGGCAAAATACTAGATATGGAGTTTTATAATATAATACTAGCTGGAAAAATATTTTTGATTTATTTGATCACAGTTACTCGAGTTCACAAGGTCGATACAACTTCCACAGCTCCGATTCCGTTTCGAAATCATAATATGGATCAAAATATGGCAAAAATCACATATCAAATTACTAGGGTTTCGTCAATCATTAGCCCTAGATTTCAACAAATGCATTTCTGATAAAAATAAAATGAACGACCAAGGCTTCATCAATCATTAGCACTTGGTTTCAGCAAGCCCATCATAAGCAAATAAAAATAAAAGTAAGGCCTCCAAGACATTCCAGCAATTAACTTTCCTCATCCAGTAGTACTTATAAATTCATTCAAATGGCCAAGGGTTTCATCAATCATTAGCTCTTGACAACCAATACACACTTTCAAATACCAATCCATTCAAAACAAGAACAAAAACTACAACCAACTTGAGATCCAAATGATTCCAAGAATCTAAAATATCCATTAAATTTTCCACTTTTATTTGCTAGAATCACTATACATATAGATTATAATCTGTCCAAACCAAGCTAAAGTAAATAATACACAAATCCAGCAAATAAACTCACCAAAAGTCCCAACCAGTTCGGTCATGCTGGAAAATATTTTCCTTCAAAAATTGCTTTAGTTCATGTTCCACAAATCAAACAATTATGAAAATTATACTGTTGTAGAATAGATTTTTAATACTATCACATCCCAGAAGACACTTTTCAGAGATTCAAATCACAAATGGGCCAAATATTCTATCCAAGTCAAGATTTCAGTTTCCTGAGGAAACAGGACATTCAAACAGGACAGCCTACTTTGAGGAATCACGGACAGCAGTACACATGGAGGAAAAATATGAAATTTCTACAAAACAAAGGCCCATGACTCTAGTTTCAAATGCCACTGACGGCACCTCAATCGGATTTTCCTACACCAAGATATAAGCATTTTATTGAGACTGGTCAAACAAATCCGAAAATCTGGAAACTCATTTTTCACTTGTGAAAAACTCCTTTTCCTCTTTTAAAACCATAAGACTCTTATTCAAACCATCATACATTTAAGTATGACATTCATACCAGCATATACCAAAGCAAATAACGCTTAATTCCAATAAATTATTCCACCAAAAAGTCCCCATAACTCTGCCATCAGCTAAGATAAAATTTGCCAGCAATTGATAGTTTATTTATATAGCTTTTGTTCCTAGCTTTCTTCAAACATGCAAAAGGTGATTAGCAAGCCTCAAGCAAATCTTAAACATCCAATACAAAAATCTGAATTGAAATTCGAAAACAAAACTAATTAAATGCTCACTTCCTTCTCTCGACCAGGCTGGAATATTTTGCAGCAGAAAATTTCCCTCGGTTTCAATCCATAATTCAACTTTTCCTCAGATTTTCCTCCATTAAACTTCACTTAATACTTAAAGCTAATAATCTATATGCAATTCATAACAAAATTTTCCACTTGACAGCAATCACAAATGCAAACAAACATGAAATCTCTCGGCTATTCCAGAAAATTTCCAGCAGTTAGAGGTTTATAAATCCAACTTTTCCTTAGCTAAAACATGGTTTTAGGTTCTCAAATTTGTCATGCAACAACTTATCTTAACCCATTAACACTTCTAGTTCGGAATTAAATTCTAACAATGGTCATAAACCTCAAAATTTCCAGGTTCGAACTAACATTTCCAACTCAAGTCTCACGGCTTATTACAGCAGCATGCATGGTTAGATTAACTGATTAGTTATCCGTCTTAATTCCAAAATCAGATTTTAATTCAGCATCAATTTCAGACAGTTTCAAGAGAAAGAAAAACAAGTTATCACTTGACCAAAAATGTTCCCACTTCTCCTCGGACAGCCCGCATGCAAACAGATTTTATATCTCTTCAATTTTCTTGTTTGATCACCACTAATTAACATCGTGCAAGGCATAATTAACCAGATCTAATCCAAAGTTAGGTTCGGTCATCATCAAGAGAGAAAACATCAATCAGAATTTTATTTCCTTCCTCTCGGATGGCTTGCATGCAACCGATCCTGTTCTACTTCAATCTTCTGGATTAATCAGAGCTATGCAGCCTCATGCAAAGCATAATCATCCCATTTATAATTAGCTAAACGTATATCTAAGTTCAGATTGCATCGAATTAATAGATTAAAGCTACAAATTTCCAGCTTAGCTCTCGGCCGTTCCTATTTCTTTCATAATCAGAATTTTCTCAAGCTCCTAATTCCTCAATCCATCATCCGAAGGCATAGAATTATCATGCATGTCCATAGCTGACCTCACTTGCCTATAATCAGCTAATATCTGTTCAGAAATTACCTCAAATGGAGTACACACACGGTTAGCAGCAGAAATTATTTTCCTCCCTTCGGCAGTCCAGGAAAGAAAAAAAATGCAGACCGCTAGCTCTGCCTCTCCCTCTCTCCCTTGCTCTGGCTTGCGGCTGGATGAAGGAATCTGGTCTCAAGCTCTTCACCAGCTCACGGATAGAAGACAGAATGAATCGCAAGTCCCTCTCTTCCCTCTCTAGCTTACGGACAGAAAGAAAAGAAACAAGAAGCTCGGCTCTCCCTCACTCTCACTCTCGGCTGGCTATGGAATTAAGGTATGGCTGGGCTGAGCTTGGTTTGTGTAGGCTGTGAAGTTGGTGGGTGTGATTGACCTCAGCTGGTGGAGGATGATGAAGGAGATGGCAGCTCGGCAGTGGTGGAGGAAGGAAAGAAGCTCGCACGGTGACCTCTTGCTCTCTCCCTCTCTCGGACAGCTCAAGGCCGCAGCTCACTCAACACTTTCTCTGGTTTCCTCTCGTCCTCATGGTTTGCTTCCGCAGCTCACTCCTTGTCGATGATAACAAGGTAAGGTGTTGTGGTGAGTTTGAGGGAAATTTGTGTAGAGGAAATGGAATGGTGAAGAGGGGCGGTATCTCGGTATTAAGAAGGAAGTGGTTTGCGGTTTGCTTGTGCAGAGAAGGAATTGGAATTGTGGTCTTAAGCCATGAGATAGAAAGGATAGTATTGTGGTGCCGCGGTTTATGAGAATGGTTTGCGTGTAGAAATGGGTTGCGTACAAAATTGGTAATAGCTGCGTGATTTGATTTGCGGTCAGAGGTTCTGTTTGGTTTGCATGGAAAGGTAAGGGTATTTTAGTCTTTTCACTTTGCTCCCTAATCTCAACTTAATTTCTCAATTCCGACTTAATTCTAAAAATTATCCCCAAGTGTGATTTGAATGTCTAATTATATCCTAATATACCTAAACCATTTTTATATCGAATACTTATCGATTAAACTTAATTATTAAGGTTCCTAGTAATTCTTATATTATTTAGCGATTAATTAGTTATTAGAATTTTCAATTATTTATTCTCAAGAAATAGAGTTAGTCTAACTCGAAATTTATCGATTTAGTAATATAAAGTCAAATGAAATAATAATTTAATACAAGTGTGTCAGTTTGCACATAAAAATTATTTTTACGCACTTATTGTGAAAACAAAGAAGGATAAGACTATAATTATCGAAATTTTTACGCCTTAAGTATGTTTAGTATATTAGTATCATGTTTATCTAAAATTCATTGGTTTTCATTTTAACGCGGAAATTCCTATTAACATTGAACATTATTAACGATTAAAACTAGTTATCGGAAATCAAAGAATTTATTTTAAAGTAATAGAATTAATCCAACTCAAGAAATATTAATTTAGTATAGCAAAACCGAATAATTCAATATTGGCACAATTATATTATTTATTACATAGAAATTATCTTTACACTTTTATTTCAAAACAATTAATTACAATACTAGAATTCAAAGAAATTAATTATTAGATCAATGAAATAGTTTACCATTGAAAATATGAAGTTAATGTAACAAAACTAAGAAGTTTAGTAGTTTAGCACAATTCTTTTATTTTGCACCTAACGTTTATTTCTACGTACTTATTTAAAAACAATTGGACTTAGTGCTAAAATTGATTAAAGAATTAAAATGCAAATAAAATGTGTACTGATATTTATATGTCTATTTTCAGGGTTCTCACATAAGGTCTCCACTTCCTACCATCCTCAAACAAACGGTCAGGCGGAAGTATCGAACCGGGAGATCAAGTCAATTTTGGAGAAAATGGTTCGACCTGATAGGAAGGATTGGAGCGTGAGACTTGAAGATACCTTGTGGGCATATAGAACGGCGTACAAGACGCCAATCGGCATGTCCCCTTACCGTTTGGTATTTGGGAAGCCATACTACCTCCCTGACGAGTTCGAGCATAAAGCATTTTGGGCGGTTAAGCAATGCAATATGGATATTGAAGAGGGCGGAATTCAAAGGAAGTTACAGTTACAGGAGTTGGGGGAGATTCGCAATGAAGCCTATGAGAATGCGGTAATTTATAAGGAGAAAAATAAGATTTTTCATGACCAACAGATCTCTAGGAAGACATTCGTTTGTGGGCAAAAAGTTCTGCTGTATCACTCCAAATTGAAGTTATTTCCAGGTAAATTACGTTCTCGTTGGATTGACCCGTTTGTTGTGACTAATGTCTTTGATTATGGTGCAGTGGAGATCCAGAGTCTAAAGACGGAGAAGAAATTTGTGATTAATGGTCATCGTCTCAAACCATATTATAATGGGGTTCCAGTTGAACGGGTGGAGACGATGCATTTGGAGGACCCGATTTGCTTGTTTTAAGCAAATTATGGGATATGTCTAGCCAAAGACACTAAAGAAAGGCGCTCGTTTGGGAGGCAACCCGAATATTAGTTTTATTATTTCTAGTTGTTCAATTCCTTTATGTTGTCGTTTCCTTGTTGGGCAGTAGAAATATTAATACTTTTCTTCATTGTGACTAGGAAGTGCAACCCCAATCTTGGCGTGCCCACGCGATGTTTTTGTCTCCTGAGGTCAGTGGATGTTTTGTAATCTTGGCATACCCACGCGGCGTTTGACGACCCAAAAAAAAAAAAAAGCGACATCATAAACGCGACTCAAAGTCACGTTTACCTACACAGTCGCGTTTTCATTCCTGCAAGATTTGTGAAGGAAACGCGACTTAGAAAACGCGAGTTGAAGGCGCGTTTTCATTCCCGCAAGATTTGTGAAGGAAACGCGACTTAGAAAATGCGAGTTGAAGGCGCGTTTTCAATCGCGTTTTCTGTGTCCCAATAAAGGCTTCAGAAACGCGATTTCAGCTTCATTTCTTCCTCTCTTCTTAATTTTCCAGGCGCGTTTTTCTTCTTTTCTTCTACCCAACTCACAAATCTTCATTTTTACTCCATAATCTTGCTAGAAATCATCACCCCAACACCTTTTGAGCTTCATACACCCTTTTTAACTGATTAAAATCCAAGAAAAACACCTAAAATCAGGTTTTTGAGGGATTGAAGGTTAGGGTTCTTAAACTCTAATGTCTTCAATTGGAGGTTGTTTCATAGGGCTTTTGACATTTTTACCATCACCAAACTTCCTTCTACGTGATTGAGGTAAGTTTCTTCATCGTGGTGAGCCGCCGCCTCTCGCTCTCTCCACCAGCCCACATCGCCGCCGTCTATTTCCAGCCCGTCCGCCGCCTTCCACTCCTGCCCACACCAATAAACCTTTGATCCTTGGGTCCTACATCACCCACTTGGCGACCCAGTTGGGCGTTCTTGACCTGGATGACCACGACCTACATTTGGCATTCGAGATGGAGCGCTTGGACATGGATTGCTTAGAAAAGATGGGAGTCGTTGAGCGCCTGCCCAATGGTTTCTCCCAGTTTACACCTCCAGGGCCACCTCGAGCTCCGGGGGCGCACCCTTCGACCCAAGCAGGGCCCTCATCATTTCCTGGGTCAGCCGAGGACACGACTGGGCCATCTTCTTCTGTGCCACCTCCACCACATGGGATTACTGAATGGCAGCAACTACGGGAGCAGGTTCAGGCTTTGGAGGCTCGGATGGTCAACGTTGACACCAATGTCGCCGGCATGGCACAGAATTTGGCGCAGTTTCTACTTCATACAGGCTTCGCTCCTCCGTTTCCACCTCGCCCACCGCTTTGACCCAGCTTCAGGGAAGTTTGGTTGCTTTCTCTCACCCTTTTGCTGTCTATTCGTCACATTGAGGACAATGTGTCCTATAGGTGTGGGGGGGTCTAAGGGGGTGTTAGTAGTTTTAGTTTTTAGTAGTTAGTATTTTTAGTTTTTAGTAGTTTTTTAGTTTTTAGTTTTTAGTATTTTTGGTTGCTTAATTTCTTTCTCTTTTCTTGATGCTTATCTTTCCTGAAAAAAACAAAAAAAAAATAAAAAATAAAAAAGGAAAAAATGTTGGTTTATTGACTCTAATTCTACTTTTGCCAAGTTTTTTTAAAATATAATGTATCGGGTTATTGTGGTTGGATCCAAGATATCTCCTTGGTGAATATTGGATTTCTTGGTTCTTTCGATTTCTTTGTTAACTTTTCTAGGTATAGGGAATGACTGTTGGCATTTTAATGTGAACTGGTCCAATATTGACTCCAGTTCTCCATGTTTGGCAATAATGAGGCAAGCTGCTCCCATGCGTGGTTATTAGTGTTGTTGTTTTGCATTTTTGCATTGTTTGGCTGAGAATAAACTTGACTGTAATCTGCTATTAGTTGCTACTGAGTAACCGGGAATCTGCACCTAAAAGTGTCGATTCTCGCGTCAAAAGGTGGTACTTTCTATGAGTACGTGGTCGTATGGCGGTAGGATCTGAGTAATCGGGCTCCTTCATCTAAAAATGTTGGAGTTCGCGTCCAAAAGGCTCCGGCGGCTAGAGACTAAGTCTTTTTGTGTCAATATTATTATTATATAAAAAAAAACAGGAAAAGAAAAAAAAAGAGAGAATAAATAATAGGAGAGCTTGCCGGTTTATGGACTTAATATGGGGACTTGTGTGAATATTTGGACCATTAGCTGATAAATGTTGTGTGCCATTCCTTTTTCTTAGAGTAGTTAATTTGGAAATTGAAGGAATTTGTGGTTCAGGGGCTAACTGGGGGGATGCTTCTTGGATTTTAATTACTAATGCCCGATATATGGTTCTCTCTTGAATATCTTTGCAATTTGGTAGATAGAGCAATGACCATTATCAAATTTTGGTGTCTGTATACTTTCCCCATGCTTGAGGGCAAGCATGATTCAGGTGTGGGGGGAATTGATAGGGTATAATTTGTTAGTAATTTTATTATTGATTTCCCCTTCTATCCCTGACAAATATTGTGTTAATTGCTGATATTTACTCATATTTGGTATTTGAAATCAATTTCAGGAGTGAAGCAGAAAATTACCAAAAAGGAGGGACTTGTATGGAAAAATGCAGACTTCTAAGGGCTTCAACCTTTGGGCCCTTGAATTGGTGGGGACCACAAGCTAGTGCAAGGCATTTAGTCATTTGGACTTTTCAAAGAAAGCAACGTAGAGAGACTTGGAACAACAAGTACTTTGGAGACTTTGTCCACATGTGTGGGGACCACAGGGAAATAGCTTTTAGGCATCTTTCTTTTGGCTTTATAAGTAGTGAACGTACAGAAGGAAGGGACGAACGGCTTTTTACCTCTAGTTTTTAGTCTTTTAGTTTAGTTTTAGTTTTCTCTTTCTTTTGACTGGCCTCTGACATACGCCAGGTGTTCGACAAAATTCCCCAATGGGAAAAACACCATTTATTCCTTGCTTTCTAGTAAAAAAACCGCAATGACTTTGCAATCCAATAATTCGTGTGGTGATTTAATTATGCGGCGTGGCTAAACCTTTCATCTAGTCAAGGGTCAACTCGACGGCGCAGTCCCGAAAATCTGTGAGATCTAATTAGTTTTCACGCGTTCCTTAATTTATTAATATTTGCACGTTGTCTGCTTGCATTCTCATGGGATTATTTTATTAATTGGATGTCAAGGGCCCGATGTTCAATGTGATTTATTAATCTCGTGCCAATTTAGTCAATTAAATCCGTAATTGTTTGATTGATTAATATTAGTGGCAACTGGTGTGTTCACACACTAGGGGAACGTGCGATCTGATTTAAATAACCCTCGTAGCGTGTTATTGATTAGGGCTAGGTTTCTAGTTATTAGTGCAATTGGGAAATTAGTTCCTATGGTCGTACCTAGGAGTATTTTCTGGTTAGGGGTGATCAATGGTCGTACCTTGGTTATCAATAATTTAAGGAAAAATTGGTTGTCAGAGTTCATCGGCAACTATAACTAGTCTATTAATAAATTAAGTGAACCTCTCTTGCATCAATGATCGGATAAGTGGACTGTGCCTGAGTAGTTGCATCCTTGGCTAGAATTTATTCATTCTTGATTTAACTCCTGCTATATTTGTGCTAGTTAATTATTTATTTATTTCTGTTGAATTATTCAATTGATTTTAGTTTCATTCTGGTGAAATCCCCCCTTACCAGTTGGCATTTAAAAAGAGACAAATATCCCTAGTCCCTGAGGAGACGACCCTACTTGCCACTGTCTACTATTCAGTAATTTTCGTCAACTAATTAATTCTGGTATATCGGGTTAAGCAAACTCTTTGGGAACAGGGTGAATCAAGTAACCCATTGCACATCTAGAGTCCCTGCTCCAGTACCTAGGATTAATTATTGACTGCTTTTAGTGGTAGTTAGGATTTTATTATTATTATTGCACAGGCTGACGACCTGTCACTAACATTTTGCACATTGGCATCAATGTTCTTCCGTCGTCCAACCATTTCAAGCAACAGCATCCCAAAACTATAGATATCTGATTTGTAAGACACATTGCCAAAGTGCCTTGAGAAGACTTCAGGGGCAATATAGCCCATGGTTCCTCTTGCAGCAGTCATTGAAACTGCACTTCTTCCCTTTTCACAAAGCTTGGCTAACCCAAAATCAGATATTTTCGGGTTAAAGTTGTTGTCAAGCAAGATGTTATGTGGTTTGATATCAAAATGGAGGATCCTCTGCTCACATCCTTGGTGAAGGTACTCGATACCTGGCGCAATGCCAAATGCAATGTTTTGTAACTTCTCCATTCCAAGGTTATGATGCTCTTGACCTTCCGGAAATATGAACTTGTCCAGAGAACCGTTTGGCAAAAATTCATAAACAAGAGCTCTTTTGAATCCATCAGCACAGAAGCCTACCAAGCGGACAACATTTACATGGTGGATTGTGCCCATTGTTCCAACTTCATTGATAAACTCTTCCCCATTTCCTGTGGAATTGTGCAGCAGCTTCACGGCAACAAATATTTCATTTGAAATTTTGCCTTTGAACACATTTCCATACCCTCCTTCACCTAATTTATCCTTGAAGTCATTTGTGATCCTCTTGATATCAGCATAGGAATATCGAGTAGGCTTCATGGCAGCGTAGTCCTCCAAAAATGTTCTGATTCTCTTCTGATTTTCTCTGTCTATTTTCTTTGTTTTATAGACATTGTAAAGGGCGCTTGTCGCTAATATGAGAAAGAAACACCCCACGATTGGACCTGTTGTTAAAGGCACATGTCAATTTTACTTTTTCTTTTCTCTATACTAGAAAAATTAACTGAGAAAAATGTACAGCAAGATTCTCACCTGAAATGAGTAATTTCTTCGACACACCTGTAACATACTAGCAAATGTCAAAAAGACATCTATGTACAACAGTCAAGTATTGTTCGTGAATTCTCTCTCTCTCTTCTTTCTTTCTTTCTGTTTATTGTGGCCTCTTACATATGTTCCTAGTAGTATTCGTGCTCTTGGTCCATTTTATCAATACACAGTCACCAAATTGGGTGAGTTCAGAAAACAGGGAAGGGTATAGCAACATGATACCTTTCTTTAAATTTATCCTTTTCAATTAGTCTGAATCTTTAGATAATTAGTCTATCTGAAGTACTTCGATGAGAAACATCAAGAAATGGACCAGGAAGGAGCAGTAAATGGTACGTACCAGGGTCGAGATTCTTTCCTCCAAAGCAGTCAAATTTATTGTTAGTTCCATTCTTCCATCTGCAAATTCCACCTTCTCGTACCTCACATTTTTTGCATGCAGACAAGGACCAGGCCAGGTTCAGTGAGTCTCGCATTCGAAATAGTTCCCCCGAAACCAAATTTGTGTCATACGTCTTTGTGCATAATTCCACAGACAAAAACCGAATTTCAGTATCAGAAGGCGTTGCACGCGCTTTGTATCCAGGGGTGTCTAGACAACGAAAGTCATATCCATCGTCGGAAGACCAACTATCACCATTTGCCAATGAGCAATTGAACAAAGTATATCGATCTATCATGTAGTCTGGTGCAGAAAACTGAAACGGGGTAGAAGATAAATCAAGATTTCTCAGATACTTGAGTTGGCAACCTTCAGCAAACTGGACTTGGATCATTTGAGTCTTATAGTTGATGCTTTTGACCACAAATTTCATTGATGAAGGGGGAAACTCAAGTAAGGTATGGTTTCCGTTGTCACAATAAAGATTGTACCCTGGATTATTGTAGCCACACTCTTCAGGCTGCTTTCCTCGTAGCAGAAATGGGAATCTTACTGCCGGACCGTCGGGGCTACATCTTTTCTCTGCACAGACATCGTCAGGTGGTGCTGCTGCAGGTGCAATTGAGACGTTGTCCGCAAAGATTGCAGGGCTTAGTAGAGAAGAAAAGCTAATGGCCACTATGACCAATCTCCAGATTTCCATTTTTTCTTTTTCTTCTAATGAGTTTTCAGTTTTGATGGAAGAGCAGTTTTCTCTGTATAGATAAATGGTTTGGAGTCAAGTCTACGCCTGCCTGAGTTTTAGCATGAGTTGTGTTTTGAACCTGTCAGGAAATTGCTTTGAGAATGACACATAATGGAGAAAAATGGAGAAAGCAACAATCGACCATACCTGAGCTCATGTTCTACTTTGACGAGTTTTTTTTCTGCACTTTCTTCATTTCCTCTAGAATAATAAAATACATCATAAAGTAAACAGTGAAACGGTAGTTTCTGGTTGTTATCGAGCTAGCATTTGGAAGTAAACGTTAACAACAGTTTCTGTTGATTAGACCCCCATTTTTTTGTGGAATTTATAACTATGACTGATTAGGGGAGGATTTGACTTGGTAATTGGAATTGATTTATAAAAGTTGAAGATAATCAATTTTCTTTAACCAGGTTCTTCAAAGCTGTCATAGGACTAATTAAGGAGACTCGAACCTTGAACATCTTACTATAATTTCTTCAACTTATTTACTACCAGAACAATGCCCTTATTAACATCATAGCCATTGTCATACCATATAATTTGATTTTAAATGAACAAGAAATTGCTCTGTGGCCAAAGCTCTTTAGTTGATCCTTCGCCATTTATCAAGCAGCCTAGAGCTGGGCCATGTTGAGCAGCTAATTGAAGTATGTGCCTCCTCTTGCAACGGCAGAGATTCGATAAGCATAAGGGTAAATTACATTTAATCCCTTGTGATTTCATCTATTACTACATAATCCTCTTGGCGTTTCAAAATATCCACTTCACCTCCCTATAGTTTTATATAAAGTGGAGATTTGACGGAAAATAACCTATGTAACGTCTTTAATTGAAATACCAATAGTACATTTACTTAAATATTAAATCAATAGATGGCTTAACTATCTTGTATAAAAGTATAAAGGGATTATGTGGATAAATGTAAAAATTATAGAGAGATAAAATGGATATTTATATAAATCATAAGGGGGTTATGTAGCTATTTTGAAACCTTAGTGATCATCTAGCATTATGTAAAATCAAAGGGCGGCTATAAATAATTTATCCTAAATATAATTGACTATGAAAGGCCAACTAGTCAAGTCCACCCCCACGAGTCTTCGACTCTTCTTCTGATCGTGAACTAAACCATCCAAATACAAAGTCACGAGACTTCACTCAAAAACAGACGTGCAGATTTTGGTATCTACATAAATACTTAATCAATTACTCGGTCATTAATACGTTATGCAGATTTTGGTAGTTTTAGTCTCCCTTGTCTTAATTTACATCTTGTTGTCCGGGTTCAGTATGGATGATTTTGTCATTAACAATTACTACATACCTGCTGATCATCACTGGACTTCAATAAAAGGAACCTGTGATCATATTCACACCCCATCCTCTTGCTAGAATTCAAGTGCCTTTCAATATGAAGTGCCATCCTTTCTTTTTTTAATCAGGACACCAAATGGATTGATCTTTTTGAGCTGTAAAAGTCCTGTGAATTCCAAATCTCCTGTCTATGTTCAGACCGCGTCCTGTGATATCACTCAAAACCTGTACTTATCTTCTCAAGTGGGATTTAGTCACAGCTATGCTATTATTGTTGGTAAAAATCCAGTGGCATCAGATATTGATGATTCCTGCACCATTCTTAAAATAGTTCCCTTAGAGCTGCTGTGTCTCCCCAGCATAACGGCGGACATCTCATTTCAAGAAATCCATAATTCGCTGGCAAATGGCTTTGAACTCATATGGGGGGTTGTATCGATCTGACTCTTTGAAGCAATCATTACAGCAAGAAGCGCTATTGGTGGTGTACTTTTATTTGCTTTTCTAATATTTAGATGTAACTGAAGGCATTTGTAGATGCAGTAGAAGAGTTTCTACAAACAAACAAGGGACTCATGCGTAATGGCTAAAACTGCAATGGCTAAACTACGATTCTGGGAAGCAAGCGCAAAAACGGACGAAAGTTAAACTAATCAATGGCTGATACTCTTTCCAAACTCCAACATCAGAATAAAAGCTAAGATAATGCTCTGAAGGCCTCACTGTGAATGTATATTTTTGCCTCCAATAGCGCTCGCACAACCACAATTGGAACTGAAGAACTATTCCTAACTCTCACTCCCTCCTTTTGTTTTTCCTTGATACACACACGCACACACACCAATTAATGTTTCAACAACTCGGAAGGTGTCATAAATAATCTGGAACAAAAATATTTTCAAGTAGTAGTAATTGACTTGGCTAATTGGATTCGCTGATGAAGAAAGGATTGTTGTCATGCTAAGCTAACAACTTAAATTGTGATATATCATGGCTAGTAGCTTCCAATATTAATAAAAATTAATTCTAATATTTTTGAAATTTGAGCAATTCGTCCAAAAGCTTTCAATGGAGCTCCTTTTTGTGATAATTTATATAGTGTGAGAATTCCTTTTCAAGTAGTAGTTGTGGTCATTGTCTTCTCAATCTCCATAGTTGTATCCCCAGAATTCGTCCACACCAAAACTGATTTTAACTACGCATCCTTATTGTTGGACCTTGTTATTACAGCCTTTGGTTTCAAGAAAATGATGAGTAGTTCTTTGTGAAGCCAAAGAAAATGTTGATGATGAGGAGTGGCAGAGTCAGGATTTCGCAGGAGAAAGGGGAGGGGGGGGGGGGCATATTTAGTTATACATACATAAATCACCACTAGAATTTAAAAAAAAAATTTGAAGGGGGAAAAATTAGAAATTAAAGCAAAATTCTATAAAATGTTGTAGGTAACAAATATGATTTCTTAAAAGTTAGGGGGGACAATCACCACTGTCGTGTCCCCTGTCGACGAGGAAGGGTTCAGGAAGAAGCAAAGGAAGAAATAGTCAACAACGGCGAAAAACGTTCCTCCAATAAGTGGCCCCAACTCCCAAGTGACCCGATTTGGCATTTAATTGGACTTTTTTATGTGCGAGGGACCTTTGATATTTCCATGAGGTGAGTATATTTCTACAATTCTTTTTTTAATTTTATTTTCAGCAAGAGACTTTGACCAAAAAAAAAAAAAAAATGGATCTGCAGTCCATTGCTTGTGACTAATTCGTGTAAATTGTCAACAATACAACTCTTGCGGGCAATAGGTCTAATTTTCATGGGACATTAATGTTTGAAAGCCACGCAATGATAAATAAACTGAGTATTTGCAAGGAATAGTAATTTTTGAATATCTGTAAATAATCGCGAATCTAGAATGGTGTGAACAATTTTGAATATTTGCAATAAAAAAATCACGAATGAAAAAACAGTATTTCCATCAGCGAGGTGGATCTCTGCTCATGTCATTCTAGCATTTTATTGATTTAGTAAATTAGTAATTATGCTGAATGCTTCATAGTCAAAATTGGTGGGAGCAGCACCCCAAAGTGGCCCGCGTATTAAGGACCCTACTCTCGCTTGTGTCACTGATAACAACACAAAAATTAAACACTTCCGGACGATTACGAGACAATTCTTATTTTATCTGTGATTTTTAATTAAAGTTAACTACTCCTTAAGAAAATAACAGGTACTCCTACATTTTTTCCCTGTGTGCAATAAAAATCATAAATCCATCCAATAACAGGACGACCATTTCCGTTATGCCGAGAAAATTTCTCCGACGACGTACGTTAAACTGGCATCCATGATCATCCATCCACCTGCAAAAGCAAAAGGTTCCTAGGCGTTCAATAGCTGACGTCTTAATTACAATAAGAACCGGTATGATTCAAAGGTCATAAGTTTGTAATTGGGCCTCAAAAATTATGAAGGGGAAAAGAAAGAGTGAACCACTTTTCTAAACCTGATCTTGATATTTTTCAAGTGAACTAATTAGCTTCTCATCAGATATCTTTTTATTCTTTTATCGAATACACTAGTTATCATAATATTGTTTGTGTTTTTCATTAAAATAAAGATCATTTCTTATAAATATTTTTTGTTCATCATGCATCACCATAATGATGTGGCTCTGAATTTACAATATAACTTATGTATTAGTAGACTCACTAACTGAGTAATTTTCTTCTTTTTTCTTTTTCTCTTTTCGGGGTTAAAGTTTTCATTTATAAATCTATGTTGGACTGCTTAAAAGAAATCATCAAAATTCTAGACTAGACTCCCCTAGAGAAGAAAAAACGAAAAAAAAATCTAGTTTGGAACTTTGAGATGGACAGTGAATGGCCACATCTAGGTTGGCGGATCAATTTATTTTCTTGAATTTAATATGCTACATATTTTCTTGTATTTTCATGAACAAATAATGAAAGAAAATGTACTAATGTCTCTTCATTTTCATGTTACCATCATATCAATACAGGCTAATAAGAAAAATATCTTTTTCATACAAAACAACAACAAGAGAAAGGAGTTCAAATTAGACTTGTAATAGGCAGGAAAATAAAAATGAACAAAGACTTAGAGCCAAGTCAAGAGTGAACTCCCTCAGAACAAACAAACAAAACAGAAAAAAAAAAAAAAATGGAGGTCAAATTAGACTTGCACTGTGAGAGAAGTTCAGAATTTAGCTTCTAACGCATTTGGTTAGCAGTTTCCTCCATTGAAGCCTCGTGCTGAAAAAGGTATGGTTCATGGAATTCTACTGGTTTATTAAACAAAACGTCCCAACTCCCAAAACTAATGGAAGAAAGTACAACATTACTAGAACTAGATATTGAGATATCAAAGCTGGCTGATTAGACTTTAGGCTTGTTTTCATTTGCTGTGAAATTTTGCAAAATTTGGTTAAAGCGATTGGTAAGGATAATGAGAATTAGGGCAATATAGTCTTTAATAGATTCATATTTTAATTTTTTTGACTATTGACAAAATCTGAAGTTAGATGCAGAAGAAGAATATCAAAAAAGTTAATATTCCTAATTTTAGAATATATAATCAAAGAAAAATAATCAATCAACTATCAATAGCCATTGATCCCATAATCGTGCACTACATATTATTTTGTACAGAAAAATGATTTTGTCATATATTTATTAATTAAATTATATCCAACTCAAAATGAGGAGTTATGTCATATCATGTAACTCATTGGTAATAAGGCCTAGGTCTGAAAATGATATTCAATAAACTAATTTTGGCTTACATACATGCCTATTTGAGACCTCAGGTCCTATTCTCCTTGCCAAGTAAAGAGCCCCTTCTCCGTTTCCGGCATCTTTTTTTTTTTAATTCACTCGGTCGGTGTTTAAGAAGTATGCTTCAACTTCACATTTTGGTAGTTTTGTTGTCTCTAATCTTGATTTACTGCTGGCTGCTGGATATCAAATATGGTGATTTTTTCGATGAATATTGTCGGAGATATGGTGATCCTACCTTCAATTCCAAAAACACCAGCCCATCCACTTGCGGAGGCACCGACATCAATTTAAAGTGCCCGTTTCAATTTAGTGGTGATGATCCAGATTTGTGCCCTGAACCTCATGTTATTGAAATCTCTTGTGAAAATAATCGCACTGTTCTATCCTTGAGTAGTGGAGATTGCTCCTGATACTAATTTGTTGGTCTTTGTGAGCTGTAAAAATCTGGTGAAATCGAAATATCCTCCTCTTTATGTAGACACTGCTTCCTGTAATATCACTGCAAATCATTTTTCAAAAATGAAAGCTCCGTCCAATTATTACAGCTATGTTGTGGTGGGCAAAAATGTTGTGGCATCTGATATTGAAGAGTCGTGCACTGTCTATAAGACAGCTCCTGTAGATCTGCGGTGTCTCCCTAATGTAACAGCAGGAGATCTTTTATTAACTGAAAAGAATTAAGGCACTTTTATTAAGATCTTATTTTCTTGTTAAGTCGAACGTATGGCATTACATATTATGCCTTCTTTCACGTGTATAACAAGATAATGTAAATGTACAGCAAAATATGCTATTTGTACAGTAAATGTACAGGAAATACAATAATAGTACACAACCGCATCTACCTCATTTGTTGCTGTGACTTTTTTTTTGTTTTGGGGAATCAGAATACCAGAAACTGCTATTTTGTCTTCATTTGTTGCTGCAAATCTTTTTTAGCAAACAAAAATATATAGCAAATTAGAATAGTTGGATTTTAGACAGGAGGGTGGGTTGACTTTTTGAAAAAGTTTATTTGTGTTATGATCCCAACAAACATATGAATTATTGAATTTTCACTTTGAACCATGCAAAACAAGCATACTTTGAATTTATTGTCGTAGTAATTTGAAACTTTTTTTTTTAATTGTCGTGGTAATTTGAAACTTGTACGCACATGAGTGTGGAATAGCTGCAATTAATAAAAGTTGATTTTCAAGCATCCAATTGGACATTGACGTTGACTTTTGTACTTAGGCGATGTGGCTCTCAAATCGGTAGATATCTACAGATTCGTCTACCGACATGTTATCGGCCCATATGGATATGAACGTGAGTAATCTGATTTCTTTGATTTACAGAAAAACTATTCTTTAATCAATTAGATTCTTTCTATTTCAATATTTCCATTATAATCCTTTAATTTTTCTATTATAAACAGATTACTTTGATATTGGTGGCATAGTTTCGGGTAAGGCATCTGATTTATAGTTGAAAACTCTGTCTATTGGACATACACTAACAGTCAGTCAATCATTGTTTTTCTCTTCTTCTATTTCAGTTGTGTTTATTGCAGCAATAAAAGTCATTGGCATTAACCTCTTGTTTGCTTTCCTCCTGTATTGGTGTCGTCGGAGGCATTTATCGAGGTATGTGACAGGTGCCGAACCTGTGCAATAATAAATACCTACTCGAGAAAAATACAGATTTTGTATATAGCGGTGAGTAGGGTCGAATCCACAGGGACCGGGGATAATTCGTTTCTTCTAGAGTCCAAAGTATGGGGGGTTTTGGATTAAATGCTAACTAAATAAATTAACTGCAGAAAATAATTAATTAAAAGAAATGATTGGGGAAACTCTAGCCAAGGGTACACATCAGAAATGGTTCATGCACTGATCATTGATGCAGAAATAATTCCAACATTTAGCAGTAGATTAGTTATAGTTGTCATGCACGCGATAAACAACCAACCCTTCTTTAATTTCTCGATAGCTAAGGTACGACCGTTAGCTATTTCTCTAACCCAAAAATAACCCTAGGTACGACCGTAAGATTTAATTTCTAGATTGCATTAATAATTAGAAAGGCCCAATCCTAACCAACAAACACGCTACGAGGGTTTGTTTAAATTAGATCATATGCTCCCCTGACATAAACCCAATTACGCCAGTTGCTACTGAGGTAGAGATAACGAACAATTACGGATTCAATTACCCCTATTTAGCAAAAATAGCCTATATGAATAATTAATCATTGTGCACTAATCAATCATACACAAGGCCATAGCAATTAAAATCAAGGAACATATAAATACCAATAAATGAAGAAAATAATTAAAACAGATTCGATCTCACAGTAATTGTCGAACCAAATCGTCAGTTGTCCCCTTGACTAGAAAAGCTTAACCACGCCTCGTGAGAAAATCTCCCCGTTGGGGAATATTGTCGAACACCTGGCGTGTGTCAGAGGCCAGTCTAAGGAAAGAAAGAAAAGAAACTAAAACTAAACTAAAACTAGAGATGTCCCTGCTACTCTACGTTATCCCTATTTAAGCAACAAGAGGAAGATGACTAAAGGCTATCTAGGTGGTCCCCACACATGTGGACAAAGCCCTCCAAGTACTTCTTGTTCCAAGTCTCTTTCCCGTAGCTTTCTTTTAAGAGCCCAAATGACTAGATGCTTTCCACTAGCTTGTGGTCCCCCACCAATTCAAGGGCCCAAGAATTGAAACCCTTAGAAGTCTCCCTATTCCCATAAAAGTCCCTCCTTTTTGGTAATTTTCTGCTTTGTTCCTGAAATTAAACTCCAATACCAAATATAAGTAAATATTAATAATTAAAACAATATTTGGCAAGAATAAAAGGGGAAATTAATAATAAAATTACTAACAATTAACACCCTATCAATTCCCCCCACACCTAAATCATGCTTGCCCTCAAGCATAGGAACAACAATTGAACACCAAAATTTGACCATGGCTGTTACTCCAACTACCGTATTGCCAAAACACCAAGAAAATCATATATCAAGCGACACAGGTCAAAATCCAAGAAAAATCACCCCGGTTAGCATCTAAACTACCAACTCCTTCAATTTAAAGCAAACTAATTTAAGGAAAAGGAATGGTTGCTCACATTTATCAGTAAATGGTCCAGTTATTAACCAAAATCTCGACATTAAGATCACAAACCGGCAAGCTGAATTATTCACATACTAACACAATCTTTATTTTATTTTTTTCCTTTTCGTTTTGTTTTTGTTTCTTTTCCTTTTTTTTTCTTTTTGAATAACAAAAGACTCAGTTTATAACCCTTAGAACCTTTTGACGCGAACTCCAACATTTGATAGATGGAGAAGCCCGGTTACTCAGCTCCAATTGCTACGGGACCACGCACTCATAATAACTACTACCTTTTGACGCGAGAATCGACACTTTAAGTGAAGATTTCCGGTTACTCAGTAGTAACTACTAGCGGAGTACAGTCAATTCTTATTTATATCCATATAGCACGATATCTAAAAATAACACAAAAATAACAGCAGCAAGCCTCAAATTTCCAGACATGGAGAACTAAAATTAATAATTGGACCAATTCACACGAATAATGCCAACAATCATTCCCTATGCCTAGAAAAGTTAACCAAAAATAGGAAAAGTTAAGCAATCATTGATATTCACCAAAGAGATATTCCTGAACTCAACCACACCAACTTGATACCCTTTTATTATATAAAAACTTGGCAATAGCAGAATTAGAGGCAACAATCCAACATCAAAACTTGGTATTCATATGAAGACTAACCACTAGAAAAAGAAAAGAAAATAAACGAAAAAGAGATGCATATCAAACTTAAAACAAAGGAAAAACACCTAAAAATCGAAAATTGGAAATACTAGCACCCAAACTGATCCCCCCACACCTAAATCACACATTGCCCTCAATGTGATAAATAAATAGTAATAGCAAGGCGAAGGGCAACGGGACTTCCCTGAAGTCGTCAAAATAGGGGCGGATCGGGCGAGAACTGAGGAGCAAGACCTGCATGGTGCATAAATGCTGCCAAATTCTGCGCCATGTGAGGTTCTAGGTGTCCAGACCTAGAAGATGACCATGGCCTCACCATTGGTTCTAAAGATCACTCCACTTGACAAGAGACAACAATGGCCAACAAATAATGGAAACAGGAAATTCAAAGCAATAAGAATTGAAAAGCCAACCCAACGAATAAAATGCACAATTCAACCACCCAGAGGTCATACAAATACCCCCAACACTTATAGCAAATGCAATCAATAAGTACTTATGGACCCTATGTAGTCAAATTCAGAATTAAGGTCGTCCAAAGTGCAACAACTGCTCCAAATACCCCAAGCAAGTCAATTAAAGGCAACCGACTTCAACAAGCAAATGCAAACTGCACATTCATGCCCCAATTCAACAAATAAACGCAGAAAAGTAGCCACAATACTAGAGCACAGCTCCCAATAATGCAACAGAATAGCAACTCGAACAAACTAGGAACTGTGCTAGTGTCTTAATAAATCAACAACTTTCAGCAATTAGACACAATCGGACCCAATATCGTAACAACTGTCTCCAATTGGACAGTCAATTACCCACTTCAACCTGCTAAAATTAGCAATTGACCCAAGAAAATGGCAACTCCAGCAACAACAGTTCAGAAGTTGGACAGAAACAACTCAACCACAAATGCCCAATAGTCGATTAGGCAACCAATAATACAGGAGTAACAAATATTATGTAAACTACCCTCACCAGTGCCACTGGTGCATGCATAAGGAAAATTGAAATCAAATGGCCAACCCAAGACATGTGATAACGCCAAACACACCACTCAGTACCCCTGAATGGCAGAGGGTAACACGGGACCCAATTGACACGTAACTCCCAAATTACCCCCAACAATTTCCAAACAAATAAACTGGCACGAAAGTCATCAAATTTATCCCCCAGATGCAACAGAAATCTCAAGTAGTCAAAACCCAATAAGCACAGGTATCTCCCAATTCAAAAGGGTAATGCACAATAAATGGCCCACCAAATTAGCAATGTAAAGTCCTGAGCAATTTACGCCCAACAATTCAATCAATACCAAAAAACTGCCCCAAACAATGTAACAGTTACACTCCACGGGCAAAGGACATCCAACCAATTTCACTCGAACAAACTAGGAGCAGTGCGAGTGACGAAACAAAGCAACAAATTTTAGCAATTGGACACCATCCCACCTAAGATCTCAATAACTGTCTCCAATTGGACAGTCAATTGCACAACTAAACCAACCAAAAGTTCTAGCAACAGCAGATCAGAATTTGAGTAACAACTCAATCACAAGAACGTGAACTTTCAAACAAGCAGGCATCTGACCAAATATAAGCAACAACTATGGTCGAAAGACCCCAACCAGTACCACTGGTTATCACACAAGGAAGAATTTAATCAGACGGCCAACCAAATCCACCAAGAAATTCAAACAATCACTAAACAGCCCCAGACTTTAGAAATTGACATTCTCGTATTTAAATTAAAAATTTCTTTTAAAAGTACCTCCCTTGTGCCCAACCGTAGACAGCGGGACAGTGGTGGGGCGCAATGGCGGGCTGAGGGAGAGGCGCGGCGGTCTTCGATGGCGGCACGCGGAATTGTGCGCTCGGGGTCGCGCGAAGTGAATGGCTGAGAATCGCGCGGCTGTCTGCGAGTGAGCTGGAGCTTGGAGCTGTTGCTGAGGGAGGCGCGGCGTCGCACGGCTGTCGCGCACGAGGAGCTGCGGGTGGCGCCGGCTGGGGTTGTGGGCTTTGGCCTGCGATTGCTTGACTGTGAGGAACGGCGGCGGCGGCTGCCCTTGGGCGAGCCAATGACGCGCGGCCAAGAGATAAGGGAGAAGGCCGCGCGCTGTGGGAGAGGTGGTTCGCGAGCTGTGGCCGCGCAAGGGGGAAGGAGCCGCGGCCTGCTGGTGGTGGCTGGTGGGCTTCGTCGACGGGCTGCAGGGAGGAGGGAGCGCGTGGCCTGGGCTGCGCGCTGGGGTAGGCGGAGGAGAGTCGCGTGGGGTAGCTGCTGCGGTGGTGAAGGAAGAAAGAAAGAAAAAAGAAGAAAAGAAAAAAGAAAAAGGAAAGAGAAAAAGAAAAAGAGAGAAAAAAAATAGTTTTTTTTTTTGAATCTTAATTTTTTCTTTTTGGGTTTTTTTTTTCTCAATGTTTTTTTTTTTCAAATTTTTTCCTGAATTTGAAATTCCAAAATTTGAATTTTTGAAGAAAAAGAAAAATGCCTTTTGAATTTTTGAATTTTCTCAATGTGAAATTTTGAAACTTTTTTTTTTTTCATGTTTTGGGTCGTCAAACACCGCGTGGGCATGCCAAGATTACAAAACATTCACTGACCTCAGGAGACCCAAACACCGCGTGGGCACGCCAAGATTGGTGTTCGTCCTCTGATCTCAGGAGACCTAAACACCGCGTGGGCACGCCAAGATTTCACTTCCTGATCACAGTGGAGAAAAATATCAAGACCAACTACTATCCAAATGAGAAACAACAGAACGAAAGAATTGAACAACTAAAAATAATAAAAT